CCCCAGGTCCTCACAACCCCGCTGAGGTGGGTGTTACTATCATCTCCATGTATAGATGGTGAAACAAACACAAAGAGATCTATCAATCATTCTATCAAGAGCTGTTTGTTTGTTTTTTTCATCATACTTAATGTGTTCTGTAATTATCTTGTTCTCTAGAAAGTAAGTCCCCAAGAACAAGGGACCTTATCTTTTCTGCTGTTTCTGCAGCTTTTTATTTTTTTCTTTATTGATTAAGGTATTACATATGTGTCCTTATCCCCCGTAACCCCTTCCCAATCATGCCCTCACCCCCTTGGTGCCTGTGTCCATTGGTTAGGCTTATATGCATGCATACAAGTCTTTTGGTTGATCTCTCCTCCTTGTTTCAGCAGCTTTTTAAAAATGGCTGCCACATAGTAGGCACAGTGTTCAACTTCTAATGAATGTGTTGAATGAATAAGTGAACTACTGAACAATGGATGTACTGATTTGCTCATGATATCTTTTATGAGAAATGGGAACTTTCAGAGGTGATAATGCTGTTGTAATTGTATGAAAGGACTAGAAACATTTCATTCAATAACTGTTGAGCACTTTTTTCCCCTGTTACATCATTCTTTGGGCATATAAGCATGTGATCATGAACCCAGGCAGAGGAAGAAAGAAAGACTATATGTCAACACACTCAGTAACCCAGTAGTTACTGGTCAACAGGTGAGTGCCAGGTACAGCGGTTGCTGGCAACCAAGGACTAGTCACTATTTATCATTTTAGATAAGGAGATTTTGTCATGACCACAACCACCATTTGGTCCTGTGACCAGTTCTGGGTGCAGATTATGTCAGGCAACCATTGCTGTGAAACGTCTGGCTCCAGTAGGGAAATTTTCTATTTTGTTTTTAAACTGTCCTGTTTTTCTAAACAAATGAGATTTGATTTTTTTTTCCTTCCTGGTGCCCAATGGATACTAATTTCACAGGACATTGGATCTGGAAAAGAGCCTAAGATTATTAGCCTGCTTTCCTCACTGTACAAGGGAAGAGAATAACCCCCCAGGGAGTAAGTGGTTTGCTTGGGGTCATATAAATAATCAGTGGAAGAGCCTGAGCTTGCCACACAACCACTAAGAGGGTTTAATGGCCTCACACTCTTAGGGGAGTGTCACTTCATGGCTGTGACCATCACCATCCTATGTTTTCTTGATCAAGAAAAATATTGCTGGAAGCTGAAATGGTCTATCCTTATTAATGCTGCTTGTATATCCTTACTTAGTAATAGAAATATCTCCTTGTAGCACATTCAGTAGCTAAAACCTTTTGCATGACTTTAGGGCAATGAAAGCCCCACTTTCCATGAAGCCTCCATGAGAACGATTGGTAGATCTGGGCCTCGCCCTCCTCCACGTGCCTTCTGTGAGGGGAGGACACAAAAGTGGACTCCGTTCTTACTAAGTCTTTGGGAGGCAAGACAGGTGGATTAAGAGCTGCTGGTGGTCTTTAATGATTTATGTGAATGAGCTCTCTGAATTAATATACAGATCCCAGGAGGCATAGCTTCCCTCCTTAAATCAAAGGACAAACTGTGCATAGGAAGGAAAGGCAACTGTACCATCTTAGTTTTACCTTCTTTGGGGCAGAATGGAGGAAGGATCTTCTGCCAGTTACCTTTGCCATCTCTGTACATCAGCATCTCAGTGAGGCATTGCCCAGGTATGAACACAGAACTCTTTTTTTAAATATATTTTTATTGATTTCAGAATCTATAGGCTGACGCTCTATCCACTGAGCCAAACTGGTTGGGGTGATCATCAAAATTGTTTTTAATTACTCTAGCTTTCATGTTGGGGAAGGAGTTGATTCTAATTCATTTGTCCTTTGCGACATAGAAATTCTTGAATAAAAATTAATATGTGAGGAGATGTGATATCCAACTCCCACTAGCAGCATTTGAGATCCCAGTATAAATGGATGTGTCAGGGGAGGAGTGACACCTAACTCGCCAGCTAAGAACATCCGAGTGCCTAGGCCCCCAATAGTCCCATTACCTAAAGTACAGCCTGAGGGTATCAGTTCAGAGCAGCGCAGAGACCTGATGTTCCTGAGGCTCTCAGTCCAATTGAGGTGCCAGAAAAAGTCCACATGGTGCTGTCATTAAGGGACATCTTTAAGAATGTTTAAGGTTGATATGCCTCTGTTTGATAACCCATGTCTTAGTCTGGGCTGCTGTAACAAAACTTCATAGTTTTGGTGGCTGGGAAGCCCAGGACCAAAGCGCCAGCAGATTGAATGTCTAGTGAGGACTCACTTTCTGGTTCAGAGATGGCTGTCTTCTTGCTGTGTCCTCATCTGATGGAAGAGATGAGCGATCTCTCTGGGGCCCTTTTACAAGGGCACTAATCCCATCCAGGAGGGCTCAACCCTCTTGTCCTAATCACGTCTCAAAGGCCCCACCTCCAAATACCACCCCTGTGAGGGGTAACTTTGGAGGGGACACACAAACATTTGGTCTGTAATAATACATATGTGAAATTTTGATTCTATGAAACTAGGAGGGAAAGCTAGTGTTGTAACTAAAATGTGATGTAGTGAAAAAAAATGATGAACCCATGTGACTGACCATGGGCCAAGCTCCCAATGTGACTAACTGTATATGAGCGTCATTGTACTTAGGTGGAGCCGTGTGACATCCAAGTGCTGAGTATAAACCGTGACTCTCACTCCCTGCCTGTCGATCTGGAAAACTGGCTGCCAACTGGAGGATGCCATCCAGCCTTCTTCACAAGCATGACAGATGTTCTCAGATCCAGCCTGGGTGCTTTTTTAGTGCCATATCTCACCTGTCTTTACCTGGCCTTTATCTGTGCTTCATCTTGTCCTACGAGAGGCCCAGGGCATGAAAATTCATGCATCAGACGGGGTCCCGCAGCTCAACCTGCCCCCTCTCACAGTTTGGGAGCCCTCAGGGGCAGGAGTGACCCGGCGATCAGGGGGAGGTGACGTCCCCATCACACCTCTGTTGCTGCCACTGCCAGCAGCGCAAGCCTCAGGTGGCCCTAGGCTGCTGGGAAGCCACTATCTGAGGCTTGCCTGCACCTCTGGCCAGTCTTGGGCGGCTGCGGGGATGAGGGGACTGGGCACTGCCATCTTGTGGCTGTGGGCACCGCCATCTTTGTGGTCATGACAGTCAATTAGCATATTCCCTCCTTATTGGCGGTGGGTGCTACCATCTTTGTGAGGGTGTGATCGTCAATTAACATATTCTCTCTATATTAGGTAAGATTCCCTCTCCCCTGCACACTCTGCACTCTTCCCTGCTCCCTAGGTCTCCATGCTCATGTTCCTCCCCTTTGTCGAAAGCCTAAGTGATTTTCCCGGTTCGTAGAACCACAAAACCCCACTGGCAAGCTTTTCTTATAGCACAGTTTATTGCCAGCTCTTGGCTGCATAGTGTCCTTATCAGTGGGTGGAGAAGCATGTGCTTGCCTCAGAAAAAAAAACAAAAACGGCCAAATAACCACTCCTTTGTCATGTGGTATTTGTTTGTTCGGCAAACGTTTACCAAGTACCTGCTACCTGTGTTAGGAAGATGAGTAACACACCACCCATAGCCCCAAGGAGTTCCCTTCCTGGACCAGGGAGACTGACACAGAGGCCGGCAGTCAGGAAACGTTCTGGTTAGTGTTTTGCTGGAGAGAGGGGAGCACGGAGGACCATGGGGACACAGAGAAGGCTCACTGACTTTAGTGAGAGACCCCAAGTTGCAGCTCTTAAGGGGGGAGTTGGCATCGGCTTGGCAGAAAAGCGAAGGCAAATGGGTACTTGAGACAGAATGCTGTTGGTGTGAGCCTCTCTAGCAAAGGGGGAGGGAATTAATCCAGGAAGCAATTTAAATTGTTTTATTCTTCCAAAACTTACATGTTGTTTTTTTAACTTTGTTTTACTGTCAACTTTGCAATAAGCTGTTACCTCGTTGAAATTGCCTGAATCTGTTGAAGATTGTGAGATGACTTGATCTCAAAATATTTTAAATTTATTTGTGAACATACATTCTAATTAGTGAAAACAGTAAGATGATCATAGTAAGTTAAGCAATTGTGGTGGTTTCTTATTTAAACCTCATTGTTCATCTTTTTTTCTGTCTCCATCCAAAAAGGAAGGAAAAAACAAAAGCATTAAATATGTATGCTTAAATTTTTTTAAATATATTTTAAATGACTTCTGTCTTGTCAGTTCTTGTCTAAAACTATAATGTAAACCAATTTAAAATTTTTGTTACTTTTGGACATATTCTTATGTAGTGGGAGTAAGTAAAGTAAGTTGAACATAGATGGGGGAAAGATGAACAAAAATTCTCACTGTTTTTGAAATGGGTCAGTTTTTACATACTATAAAATGTTGCCTTTTAAACTTGGTGGAAATGTTAAATGTGGGGCTTTTTCTTTTTATTATGAAAGACACAAGAAGACCAATAAGGAGATGCATGTAGCTTATCACAGATTTTTGATCCTGGAATAGTTATGAAATGTGGCTTTGGTCTAGAAACCATGGTCAGCAAATTGCGGCTCACGAGCCACATGTGGCCCTTTGGCCCCGTGAGTGTGGCTCTTCCACAAAATACCACGGCCTAGGCAAGTCTATTTTGAAGAAGTGGCATTAGAAGAAGTTTAAGTTTAAAAAATTTGGCTCTCAACAGAAATTTCAATTGTTGTACTGTTGATATTTGACTCTGTTGACTAATGAGTTTGCCGACCAATGGTCTAGACCACATGTGTCAAACACAAGGCCCTCGGGCCAAATCCGTCCCGCCAGGCCTTGCAATGTGGCCCGCACCGCACTGTCATCACTGCACTCCGCTGCGTTTCCATCACAATGACAGTTTATGACTGTTCAGTAAACCATTCGGCCCGCGATTTAGGCTGGATTTTAGATTTTGGCCCCTTCTCTGATTGAGTTCGACACAACCTAGTCTAGACAATGAAACATTTCTTATAGAGTAAGAAGACTCTCTCTCTCTTTAAGGTTATGAGAAGACCGATGATGTTTCAGAGAAGACTTCCCTGGCAGACCAGGAAGAAATACGGACTATATTCATCAACCAGCCCCAGCTGACGAAGTTCTGCAACAACCACGTCAGGTAGGAACTGCCAAAGGATGATCTGGACCAGCCAGCACACCCAAGTCCTGTGGACCCTCTCCCCGCCAAAATGAAAAGGATTGCAAAGAGCTTACGGTTACATCAGTTAATATTGAGAGCTTACTAGTGGGCATCTGAATTGGCTATTTCTCCATCTTCTAGCCAATAAGGAAAGAGCAGAAAGGATAAGCAGCTGCTTGTGGGTAAATCCCTTTGTGATAAACCTGTTAATAGATTGTTGTTTGGGGTTAACAAATTTTCACATTTCAGAAGAGGTCCTTTGCCATTCTTCAAGGAGAACTCCTTTTGGCTAAATCACATGTGTCAAACACAAGGCCCTCGGGCCAAATCCGTCCCGCCAGACCTTGCAATGTGGCCCGCACTGCGCTGTCATCACTGCACTCCGCTGCGTTTCCATCACAATGACAGTTTATGACTGTTCAGTAAACCATTTGGCCCGCGATTTAGGCTGGATTTTAGATTTTGGCCCCTTCTCTGATTGAGTTCGACACCCCTAGGCTAAATAGTTGTAAAAATTAGAATGGTGGTAAGGAATGGAGGGCTGTGAGAATTATTTCATTGTTATATATTCACTACAGGCCCAGTGCATGAAATTCATGCACGGGGGTGTGTGTGCCTCAGCCTACCTACACCCTCTCCAATATGGGACATCCCTCTCACAATCCAGGACTGCTGGCTCCTAACCGGTTCACCTGCCTGCCAGCCTGATCCATGATTAACTGCTCCTCTGCTGGCCCAATCACCCCAACTGTCCTCCCCTGCTGGCCCAAAAACCCCTAACTGCCCTCCCTTGCCAGTCTGGTTGTGCCTAACTCCCTTCCCCTGTTGGCCTGGTCACCCCCAACAGCCTTCCCCTGCAGGCCTGAGTCTCCCCCATCTGTCCTTCCCTGCAGGCCTGGTTGCTCTCAACTGCTCTCCTCTGCCAGCCCAGTCACCCCTAACTGCCCTCCCCTGCAGGTCTGGTCTCTCCCAACCACCCTACCCTGCCGGCCATCTTGTGGTGGCCATCTTGTGGCAGCCATCTTGTGTCCACATGGGAGCAGCCATTTTGTGTGTTGGAGTGATGGTCAGTTTGCATATTACTCTTATTAGATTAGATAGGATTCCAGCAGTAATATAAAAGTATCTCTGTCATAAGCCCAATTCACTAAGTGGCCCCTGGAACCAAGTGAGCACCCCCAATGCTAGCCCAGGTTTCTCCATTGGCAACATTACTACACTGGAGACACGCCCACTTAAAGTGAACATTTACAACTTAAAATTCAAGCAGGAGTAACTTTTCACAGTTTGGGGAATGCGGTTTGTGGGCGTGTGTCCCTTTAATCTCCTCTCCGTTATCAATGAGAGGAAGATTGGATGTTTCTAACACCTAAACTGTGACTGGCTGGCTATATCGATGTGTTTGGTGCGGAGTCCTAGCCAAAGTCATAGAGGGTCCCTGAAGAAAATTCAAACCCAGGAAACTCCCCATTTCTCTGAAGCTAGCCAGGGAAGGCATCTCTACTTAAAGTCTCTCTGGTTCTGCTCAAATTGCTGACTTTGTTGTTGTTTTTGCAAGATTTTATTTTCAACGAACATGTTATACATTTTCTTAACTAAAGTTGCTCTTCTTGGTAAGCTATCCCTGGTAATGTTGAAACAAGGATGGCTGACGAAGGAGAAAGAAAGATATTAGGCAGGAAATGAAAGTGTCTGTTTATCCAATTCCTTTCAGTCCTTTTCATTCAGGTTCATGACCATTTGCAATAGTCTCCCAAGTTGAAGCAGAGGACAGATGCTTCCTCATCTAATTTTGTAGATGGTGATACTAGGATTTTGTAAACATTGGAGCTAATTGTGGAACAATTAGGTTTTATGCTGCTTTCATTTTATTTTCCAGCACTGCAAAATACAACATCATCACATTCCTTCCACGATTTCTCTACTCGCAGTTCAGAAGAGCCGCCAATTCATTCTTTCTCTTTATTGCACTGCTTCAGGTAAAGTCCTGTTGTAAAACCTTAGTTCAACATCAGACGTTGTCATTTAATAAAAGCCTGTGACTGGTCTTCGGAAGCTTATCCGAACACAGAGAAATCAGCTGGTTTGAGTGGACATGCCCAGCTTCTGCGACAGCCGTGTTAGAATTTCACTACCTCTGTTAGTCTTCCCATTCACTTTTATCAGCTTATTTTTAAACGTTCTGTAAATTCAATGTGGTGAGGACTATTTGTTTGGTTTCTAAAGGGAATGGGGCATTTTCTTAAAATATCAATTTATTTTAGTAACAATATAACTCAGTTCTGAACCTTAGAATATAAGAATTATCCCTTTAAATCTTGTTTCTCTTTGTAGTTGAAAAATCAGGGGGGGGAAAGTGTTATTTTATTTAAAAATAGCATACACTTGTTATAAAAAGAATTAGAAAACATATTAATGTCTAAAGACAAAATTTACAACTCATTCCACCATTGAAAGGCAACTATGTTCTTAAAATCTGGAGGTATATCCTTCTGGTTTTCCCCCCCCCTTGTATATTAACTTAGTGTACAAAGGGGACCACAGAGTACATGTGTTTCATAACCTGCATTACCAGTATTTTCCCATGAGATTCACTGTGTAGCTAAAATATTATATTTTAATGGTCACATGATATTTTATTAATAGTATATGGATATACTGTAATGTATGAAACCAAGCCCCCTTTGTAGGTGTTAGTCCTACACACAGCTGCTTACCAGAAAGCGAATTAACAGCTGCTTCTTAGACTTGAGCAAATCACCTTATCCAGCGTCAGTCTGCTAAGATAGTAAAATCAAGGAAGCATATGATAAGATGCACTAAGATGTTACCGTTTTTAAATGTATTATCGACTTGCTAGTTCTCACTGGATTTCTTTCTCTCTCTTTTCCTTCAAATAGCAAATACCTGATGTATCACCAACAGGTCGCTATACCACACTGGTTCCTCTTTTATTTATTTTAGCTGTGGCAGCTATCAAAGAAATCATAGAAGATATTGTAAGTACTTAATTTTTTTCATAAGTAAATGACTCTTTATTTTTACATAACTATTTTAAAATATTATTTCTTCTTTCAGTTATTTCATTCTTGACACAAGCTGCTTAAAATGCCCATCCCACTTATAAGTGTGTAGAATATCCTCCCACTTCTACAGTTAATTTTTGTTGATTTTTATATGGTTAACATTTCAAAATGTTTGCTACAGTGTTTCCTTATGTTTGTGGTTTATTAATGAAAGAAATTAATTTGAATGAAATAGTTGACTTAGAAAAAAATATATTTGACCATTATTATGAATTATGCTCAATTTTCAATTTGAACATTGTTTCAAGTTAAACAGACCCTCCAAACTATCTAAAAGTAAGTAGTGAAGGGATTCTTGGTGGTTTTTTTTAAGTTTATGTACCCTAGTTTTCACCTCATTAAATACCTACGATTCCTTTCTTATTTTAGTAGTTCTGAGTTTCCTGTTCCTCTATCTTGTTGTAGTAAAAGAAAGTAACAGCGAATGTGCTATTTTTATTTTTCCGTAGCAGCAGAGAAAAGGGGGAAGTCGGTTTCCCCTTTATAAAATACATTCTCTAAGATAAATTCAGGCTTTTCTTTTTCTTCTGTTTTATCTGTTTGTTTACCACCGTTAGTTGAGGAAGTCAACCTTTTTTTTCTATGCCCTTTAAATAAGATGCCTGTCCCAAACCACCTTCTGTCAAGCCTTCGGCAAGTCAGATGGTAAGGAGAGGAAAGGCCAAGACGTTCTTTAGAAAGCTCCAATGTAAAGTTACACAAGCATTCATTAGTATTATAGCTGCAGGGGATCCGATTGGGATCTCACTGAGAACACATGAGCCATGGCACCACTAGCCCATTAGACATGGGTCAGCCGACTGTTTACCAGGGATGGGGAATCTTTTTTTCTTCCAAGGGCCATTTGGATATTTATAACATCATTCACAGGCCATGCAAAATTATCAGCTTAAAAATTAGCCTGCTATATATGGTCAAACGTGTAATTCACTCTGAATGCCTCGGCGGGGCCAGACCAAATGATTTTGTGGGCCTTATACAGCCCACAGGCCGGGTATTCCCCACCCCTGGTTTAGATCATCAGTGTCAAAAACATCCAAGTGTGTAAGAGTGCAAACAGAGGTTGTGTGTGTAAAACACCAGACTCCTCTTGATTGCAAATGACATACTTGATGGGGACCACTAGCTGAAAAGTGCAGGGGCCCTCTTCTCACGCGTATTGTTCCACACGGACTTACCACCTTTCAAATGAAGGTTGGATTTGGCACTTTATACGGATTCATCTTTATTACAGTTTTGTCTCTTTCTTTGCCTTTGGTACTCCCTTTTCTTTGTTTGTTTAATCTAGGTTTCATTGAGCATCTGTTACTTACTAGCATTATGCTATTGTATTAGCAAAAGGTTTTCTCATTTAATTCCTTCACTAACTTTTGAAAGTTGGATATTAACCCCGTTTTAAAGGTAAGGAAACTGAGGCTTGGAGAGGCCAAGTATCTTGTCTAAGAAATTGATGGAATTTCTATCCCATCCATTGCTCTTTTTTATTGTTGTGACGAGTCACCAATGATAATATGAATAACTGAACTTCTGGGATCCACGTTCGTGCTTTATGTCCTTTATAGTTATTAAATCTTATATTAACCCTTTCAAGGATGAATGGTATTGTCCGTATTTCACAGATGAGGGTGAGGAGGCACAGAGCAGTGAGGTAACTTGCCCAAGGTCTTTCAGCTGTTTATGTGGGGCTGTGAGAATTCAAATAAGGCTCCTGCCGTATAATCATTTCTCTAAACTGCTGCTTCTACCCTTACCTTTTCTCTTCCTTAGCAAAGCTGTAAGCTCTCTACCCACATTTTTAGTACCCCTCTTTATGAAAATACATGGTAAATATGCATATAAGTACAACAAATAGACACAAAACTCTGGGGAGGGAGGGCATGTATGGGGGGGCAATGGTAATGTACACAGATAATAATTTAATTTTAAAAAATTAAAAAAGAAAATACATGGTAAATAGAATGGTATCCAAGAAGTTTTTTGTTTGTTTGTTTGTTTTAACAAAATGCTTATTAGAACACAGCTAATTGGGCAGTTTCTGAAGGTTGTTATATTAGTACTAGAGGCCCGATGCATGAAGATTTTGCACAAGAATGGGCCTTCTCTTGGCTGCTGGCATCACATTCCCTCCAGCCGGAGCCGCCTTTTCCCTCTGTCCTGGAGCCACCTTTCCGCCTTCCTATGCTGCCCAAAGGCCCGGAGCAGCTGGGGCAGTGCGGAACGCTGCTCTGTGCCTGATTGTACAAATTAACCTGCCATCTTTGTTGGGTTAATTTGCATACTCACTCCTGATTGGCTTGTGAGGGTCATGAAGGTACAGTCAATTTGCATTTTACTCATGGGGTAGATCATGGGGTAATAATAGTATCATTTGAAGTAGCTTTCTAATAAGTATTAAAGAATGAAGTAAAAAATGGACTGTAAGAATGATTTAACAAGACTGCTGGAGGGATATATCAAGGAGGCAACTGGATATAACTGTCTGGAACTCAGATGAGAGTTTTGGCTGGTATATATTTACAAGTTGGTTATCGTTGAAATTGCAGGTATGAATGAACTAAGAGAGTGTAGAGTGAGAAGGAGAGAGGGTAAAGGATTGAGCCTTTAGAAATTCCATCGCTGAATTACAAGCAAGGAGACAAAGGGGGCCGAGGTGCAGGTAGAAGACCTGGACGATGATGCAACAAGAAATGTCTGGGTTGGAAAAATTCCCCGAAGTAGGATTAACCAATATTGCATCCTTAAGTATCCTGAAGCTCATGGAGCTATTTACACAGTCCAGTTTATTGGTGTGCTGTCAACCAAATATTGAAAATATTAAGTAATTCACTAAGTCTTGCTGGCATTAGTGAATTCTGATTACAGGACAGTGACTGTATTTGAATTCAGAGAATAACTATATAAATTTTTCTAAACTATTACTTTTAGAATAATGATCTCTTAAGGTACAAAGATGCTTTCTTTTTGTAGTCATCAGATTAGAATCTGCCTGTCTGGGTGGGTCCTTATGTATATTCAGCACAATTATGTCCTGACAAGTAGTCTAATTTATTCTGTGGTGGAAAGGTTGAAGAAAAGGATGCTCTGTACAGAAATTCTGTGTATGGAAAGTAATGTTCAAGAATTCCTCAGGTTTCACTAAGATTAAATTTCCTGTAGAAGTGGAATGTTTTGTTAATTCGCATTTATTTGTCTCCTTCAGTTGAAAGTCTAACTATTATATATTAGAGGTCCGCATTGTTTTGGAAGTATTTGCACCTGCTCTGAGTATCTGCTTTTACCTTGGATCATTATTTCAGTCTAAAATTTATTTTGGGTTACTGTTCATTTTCTTAAAATCTTTATTAACAAACAAAAATGAGCAAGCATGCTCTACTGAATAATATACTCTACAAAAGCTACAAATTTAACAGAACTTTAAAAAATTCAGTTAAGAATATTTTTTGGCAAATAGTGTGCTTGCTTTTGGAAGCAATAACTTGCCTATTAAAAGTGTACATTATTACACTTTTACTTATGATAGTTTTATTCTGAGAAAGGATTGTCCCTGCCATATGGATGTGCAAGGATTATTTTCAATAAGCCTTCCACAGAAGCATTCTGAATGCACCACTTGCATTTTGAGCAGTTCACTGGCTGGTTATTGGGATGAAGCAAGTTCTCACTGCCAACTATTATGCCATTCCTCCTGAGTGTTGCTATGTCTCCAGATTTTTCTCTTGGAAAGTGTTTTTCCTAATGTGCCCTATGCCCCTAAAAACCATCTTTCTTCTCAATGGAAAGCTTAGGAACTCATTTGTTTTGCATATGTTCCACCCTATCTCATAGTCAGGTATATGCAGCTAAATCTGAACAGGGGTTATATATGCTGGAACCTTTGAACACAGAGTCATTTACACTCAACACCTTTTTCCAACATCAGCAGAAGCTGATGTGTTACTCACAATGGTATACATTTAGACAGAAGCTATGGAAAACCTCTTGTTTCCATTGGTCATTCAAATCCTCACCTTCCTCCAGCCTGCCGTTTCTTTTCCTAACTGCTGTAAAGGCCTTGGCTTCTGTAACTCTTCAAACTCACCCACCTAGACATAGACTAGCTGGCCTGTTTATTTATTTTGTCTTAGTGCTTTTGGGAGGAAGGAGAACAGGATCATGCATTCACTGGCTTCTGATTATCGGGGAGAGTGGCTCTTGGGGAGCAGTAGATGGAAGAAGCTTTGTGCAAGTGGTAGATGCACCTTGTTTCTAGTCACTGACAGGCACATCATTAAATTATAGAGGATCTATCAGCTTAATTAGATAATGGATTTTATAAGTTGAAAATATTTCAGTGCCATTATAAAATGATAGTTATTATAGATAATTCTCTTGGGCAATCTTTTGTGAGTTATTGAAACAAATGATTAAGTCAGCCTTTCAGCGCAAACTCTTCTAGTACCGTGGTCGGCAAACTGCAGCTCACGAGCTACATGCAGCTCTTTGGCCCCTTGAGTGTGGCTCTTTCACAAAATACCTGGGCGAGTCTATTTTGAAGAAGTGGTGTTGGAAGAAATTTAAGTTTAAAAATTTTAGCTCTCAAAGGAAATTTTAATTGTTGTACTGCTGATATTTGACTCTGTTGACTAATGAGTTTGCCAACCACTGTTCTAGTACATTAAAATTTGAATTTTACCGGCATGCTGATGTCAGACCTTCCAAGGACCCATACACCTGGAAAAGGACTGTGGATTGCTTTCAGTTTTAAAATCCCTGATTACCTAGCCTCCCATCATCATACTCACAGCATATTTATGACATTGATATGGGTATGAAAATAAGTTAAAGAAATCTCTTGCAGCCGAAACCAGTTTGGCTCAGTGGTCGAGCGTTGGCCTGCGGACTGAAAGGTCCCAGGTTCGATTCCAGTCAAGGGCATGTGCCTTGGTTGCGGGCATATCCCCAGTAGGAGGTGTGCAAGAGGCAGCTGGTCGATGTTTCTCTCTCATCGACATTTCTAGCTCTCTATCTCTCTCCCTTCCTCTCTGTAAAAAATCAATAAAATACTTTTTTTTTTTTTTAAAGAAATCTCTTGTAGGTGCTATTTTGTTTTACTTGTCTTTCTCACTTTTTCACAGTTTTTATTTTTGCTTTTAAATTTTAGAAACGACATAAAGCTGATAATGCTGTGAACAAGAAACAGACACAAGGTAGGAATTTTACAATTTATTTCTTGTATCTATCAAATACACTCATACTAATATAAATAATCACTTCAGTTAAATGTAACTCAATTGAAAACATTGTATATCTCTTACATTTTGTTCCAAGGTAAATTCTTGCTGTGTAGCATTTATTAGCATGACATTTAAATCGCAATAGATGACTTTAGTGGTAATACTTTTGAAAGATAACATCTTTAATATATTTAATTACTTCATAACAATATGCTGGTAAGTACAGTTCATAAAATCTGCAATGGTTTTAACAGTATTATATGCTGCAAAATATATTTTGTGACTTATTGATATAATTCTAGCAGATACTATCTAATCTAATAATAGAGTAATATGCAAATTAACTGTCACTCCACTACATAAGCCATGCCCCTCAATCAATCAGAGACAATATGCAAATTAACTCAACAAAGAGTGTGGTTAATTTGCATACAGGGAGGAGGGAGGAGTGAAGACTGAAGATAAAGCAAGGTGGCTGCAGCTGTGCCTGATGGAGGGAAAGCACTGGCAGCACATGTGGAGTGGGACAAGGTGCGCAGCAGCTGTGGAGGCAGCTGGGGCGGTGGTCCCAGCAGGGCAGAGGGCAACTAATCATTGTTTCTCTCTCTCCCTTTCTTTTTTCCTCCCTCCCTCGATGTCTCTCTCCCTCTCTCTCTCTCTCTTCATCTCTCTAAAATCAATTGAAAAAATATCCTTGGGTTAGGATTTAGAAAAAAAGAAATAGGTAAGGCTTCTAACATAAGTATATAAAACATGTCAATAATAAAATATTTGGGCTTAACCGCTATAAACACCATTTTGGTAGAATACTTGGTAATCCCATATATAAGATACTATGGGATACTTGATACTTGAAATTGTTTTCTCAGCGATCTTTCCTTCTTTTCTCCCTGCTTTGTCTAATTTAAGTACTAGTTATCGTTTATATTTTGAAGTTGATAGGACATAAGAGAAATGCTTGTCGATGATACTGTTTGCTATCACATAACTCAGATTGCTTAATACGAAAGCCATCTGTTGTCATTAGACCAGAATGAAATTGATTTGCTTTGCCGAATTGAGGCAGTAGTGGGTGTAGGAGTGGGAAGGGAGTATTTTTGACAGATAATTAATTTTTGACAAATATTGGAAGTATTGAGCTTAAAATTTCAATTTCCTAAATGTTTACCAAGCCCATGCAATGTGTAAGAAAATACCTTTCCTTCAGATTCCAATAGTAATCCTTCTCTGTTCTTAGAGAAATTAATATTTTCTCTCCTTATTTTGCATGGAGGCACTAGAGTGACTTTTTTCTTTCCTTCCCTAACAACTTCAGAAATATAAACTCATAATTTGATTTCAACATTTCTGATCATTTAACTCTGTAGCTTTGTACATGTCTGATGCTTCATTTTCACCAGTCAGTGCACTCAGTCAGGGAGCATATTTTGTACTCTACTCAGAACTTTATAAACTTTATGTTTTAGCCTATTATCAATGCTTTTGAAAAGAAGCCATGTCTTCTCCTGGGGTTATAGAGTTGGTTAGGCATATGGTTCATGGAGCTAGCAAATTCAAAATTTTACATTGTTCTCTGAGGACATAGCTGTTAGGGAGGGCAGAAGGCACAGATGCTCAAAAGTTTGGGAAATATGAGTTGTGTGGTCCACTCCTCCTAATGACTTGTGACCACCTTTTTTTGCGCCTGTCCTTTGCTTGTGTGCTGCTGTAGCTGTACCGGGTGGCAGCACTGCAAAAGGCAAGTCTACCTTCCTACTGGTCTTCGTGTTTGCCACGAAGGGGCATGTCCTGAGCAGGTGGTATATGTGTTTGTGTAGCAAATGAACCAGTGAATGAACCATTCTCCCTACAGATGCTTGAGAAGGAAGAAACTAGGCATGAAAGGAGCCTTCTTGAAAATTCACTATCTGAGGTGTGAGCATGATGTTTTTCCATAACACCGTTTCTCAGGCACTGATAAAATACTAACGTGGCAGAAGTTCTAGTCACCTCCTCACCCTCTCTGTCAAAGTCATTACATCGTCATTTCACACTGCTTCGCCTCCCGTGAACACCTTACTGTGTCCACTCATCAGTTCTGTTATCCAGAGACCAGAGCTCTGCCATATTCAGAATGCCCTGGGTCTCCTTGCATCTAAACCTACCTTCATTTTCTCGGACTTCTTCCCTTGATATTTGGACTCATGGCATCTGACAGACCCTCTTCTGTGTACCTGACACACACTGGAGGCAGTCTCTCATGGTTTTCCCTAAATTGGGTTGTTCTGCCAAATTTTGCTCTGCAGGAATTTATAAATAATAAATTTCTAATGATTAATGTGGCATGTAAATTGAAGCCAATCCCCATATGAATTTATTGTCGTTGAGCTCATTCTCTTTCTAAATTGTAAAAATGTGCTTCTGAGGTTTTTTGGTTTTTTTTTTTTTATGAAATGCTGCTCTGGCTAGCATGCCAGTATTTCTGGTGGAATGACAGTTTCACATGCAGTGACAATAAGGAAGCCTGGGAAAGGATGGGGTTCAAGTACAGGAGAAGAAATATATTTGGGAGAATTAAAAATGCCTCCTGGTGAATTTTTGGAGAGTTCGTTCTAGGTCTGTGAAATATGCCATTGGCACTTTAATGGGAAGTGCATTGAATCTATAGATTACGTTGGGTAGAATGGACATTTTAATGATGTTGATTCCATCAATCTATGAACATGGTAAGTTCTTCCATATCAGTTTATGTCTTCCTCTATCTCTTTTTTCAGTGTCCAATAGTTTTCTGAGTACAGGTCTTTTACCTCCTTAGTTAAATTTATTCCTAGGTATCTTACTTTTTTGGTGCAATGGTAAATGGGATTGTTTTTTAAATCTCTCTTTCTATAAGTTTCCTATTGGTGTATAAAAATGCCATATATTTCTTGGCATTAATTTTGTATTCTGCTACATTTCTGAATTCATTTATTAAGTCTAATCATTTTTTTATGGAGACCTTAGGGTTCTTTAAATATATTTTATTGATTTCTTACAGAGAGGAAGAGAGAGGGATAGAGAGTTGGAAACATCGATGAGAGAGAATCATCCTACTGGGGATGTGCCTGCAACCAAGGTACATGCCCTTGACCAGAATCAAACCTGGGACCTTTCAGTCCACAGGCAGATGCTCTATCCACTAAGCCAAACTGGTTTTGGCAGGGTTTTCTATATACACTGTATATAGAAAACCCTGCCAAAACCATTATACGGTATCATGTCATCTGTGAATAATGACAGTTTTACGTCTTCTTTTCCAATTTGAATGCCTTTTATTTCTTCTTGTCTAATTGCTATGGCTAGCACTTCCAGTACTATATCGAACAGGAGTGGTGAAAGTTGGCATCCTTGTCTCATTCCTGTTCTTAGGGGAAATGGCTTTAATTTTTGCCCATTGAGTATGATGTTGGCTGTTGGTTTATCATATATGACTTTTATTATGTTGAGGTATGATCCCTATGTTCCCATTTTGCTGAGGGTTTTTATCAAGAAAGGGTGTTGGATTTTGTCAAATGCAGACCCTAAATAGCTGAAGCAGACCTGAGAAAGAAGCACAATGTAGGAGGGATCTCAATACCAGATATCAAGCTCTATTACAAAGCCACTGTTCTCAAAACTGCCTGTTATACTGGCATAGGAACAGACATATAGACTAAAGAAACAGAACAGAAAACCTGGAAATTGACCCAAATCACTGTGCTCAATTAATATTTGACAAAGGAGGCAAGAACATTCAATGGAATCAAGACGGCCTTTTCAGTAAATGGTGTTGGGAAAATTGGGCAGATTCATGAAAAAAAAAAAGAAAAAAAAAAAAAAGAAACTAGACCACCAACTTACACTATACACAAATTAAACTCAAAATGAATAAAGAAATTAAACATAAGATAGGAAACCATACTAGTAAAAATATTAGAGTAACTCCCAGGCAGCAAATCTCAGACATATGCTGAAGCAATATCGTCATCGATATAGCTCCTAAGGCAATGGAAACTAAAGAGAAAATAAACAAATGGGACTACATCAAAATAAAAAGCTTCTGTACAGCAAAAGAAATTATCCACAAAACAACAAGGAAGCCCACTGCATGGGAAAACATATTTGTCAATGTTATATCCGATAAGGGTATACCCACCATTTACAAGGAACTCATACAACTTAACAAAAAGAAGATAACCAAATCAAAAATAGGTAATGGACCTAAATAGACACTTTTCAAAAGAAGACAGAAGGAAGGCCAAGAGACATATGAAAACCTGCTCAAAGTCACTAATCATCCGAGGAATGCAACTCAAAATGACAATGTAGTACCATCTTAAACCTGTCAGAATGGCTATCATCAACAAATGACAAGTGCTGGCGAGAATGCAGAGAAAAAGTGCACTGTTGGTGGGAATGCAGACTGGTACAGTCACTGAGGAGAACAGTGTGGAGTTTCCTCAAAAAACTAAAAATGGAACTCCCATTTGACCCAGTGATCCCACTTCTAGGAATATATCCCAACAAACTAGAAACACCAATCAGAAACAATATATGCACCCCATATGTTCATAGCAGCACAATTTACCATAGCTAAGATTTGTAAACAATCTAAGTGCCCATCAGCAGATGAGTGGATTAAAAAATTGGTACATCTACATAGTATATTATGCTGTGGTAAAAAAAAAAAAAAAAAAAAAAAAATTCTTACCATTTGCAACAGCATGGATGGAACTAGAGAATATTATGCTAAGTAAAATAAGCCTGTCAGAGAAAGATAAAAATATCACATGATCTCACTCATTTGTGCAATATAATGAACAACATAAACTAATGAACAAAAACAGATCCAGAGAAGCATCAATCAGATCGTCAAACCTTAGAGGGAAGATAGGGGAGGGTTGATGTAAAGGGAAGAGGTCAACCAAAGGACTTGTATGCATGCATATAAGTCCAACCAATGGACATAGACACCA